TATTTACTTAATTACAATTTACATAACTTATAATTTATGATATTGCAAAACAACTTGTACTATTATCGCTACATACAATTTACATGACTTATAATTATACATTATAAAAAACAACCTGTACTATTACCGCTACATTATTTAATATGCATTTACATGACCTATAATTTGCAATTTATATTATAAAAACAACTATGCATTAATCCTAGGCAACAGGAATAGTAAAGTCATTTGTTTTCATATTACGCTTTAGAAATACTATTCTGTTAGATAATTTTGGCTTTAATAATGTTCTTTTCGCACTTATAATATTTTTTGCAACTGAAATTAAGCATTTACTTGGTGTGCTAGTTGCAGAATTTGCAAGAAATTTTTCTGACCATTTCACTTAAAATCAGGGATGGTAAATGACCTGAAATGACCCAAATGACCCAAATAACAAATGACTAGTCATTTGTCATTTCAAAGTTCAAATAACCTTAGAAGGTCATTTAACATATGTTGATTAATATTCTAATACCTTTTAACCAATTAGAATTGACCACCAAGCAAAATTAAATTTATTAAAAATATAATCAATAATCGTAGTTATATATCAAAATCAAAATTTTACTAAATCAATTAATATTTATACCTTAAGTAAAGTTGTTCCGGATAATAAATTGCATATGTCCTGAAATCTTTATAAATTAAATAACTTTTTATTAATTCATATAAAGTAATATGCGAAAGTGAATTAATTTATTATCTCAAACAGCTTTATTAAGGTATAAATATTAATTGACTTAATAAAATTTCAATTTTAATATATAGCTACGATTATTGATTAGAAAAGTAATAAAGTTCAATAACTTTTTTATGAGTAATTCAACCAATAAAATTACTTATATATAAATGACCCAAATGACCTAATGACCCAAATGACCTGGTTATTATTTGATGACTTGAGGTCATTTGAATTTTGATCAAATGACTAGGTTATTTACCATCCCTGCTTAAAATTGAAAATTGCCGTTTTTTTAGAGACCACTACACCATGTAATCTCCCTCGAAATCAAGCTCGGAAAGAGCAAAATAATTTGTAACTTCATTATTATTTTGGTTTTGTGAGCTTGATAAAAAAAAAACAGGTTTAATGAACCCTTTACAGTAAGCTTGCTTTTCATTTCGATTAGTTACAGTAACTAATTTTGATATCGATGAATGACATGGGATAAATAGTGCCTTCTGAATTTCGTGATGTCATGACCTGCATAGGATCAGGTTCATGTAACTAACGCGTTGCATGATCTTGATAAAAATCTTAATAAGGAAGTTGATTTTAGCTTTAGAGTTAGTCTTGGTCTTAGTGAAGCTTTAATGGTTAATTAATAAAGAGATACTTAAAGTATAAACTGTGTGTTTGTGTACATGGAATTAAAGGTGGGAGTACTTGGTATTATACTCCCGTCCCGTATAACCAAACGAGCACTATTAGTTAGTGCAAATTGAGTTAAAACCCCTAAAAGTTAAGAAACTATTCGACATAAGGACCTGGGCAAGGGAACAGCCTTACCTCACTGAATTTGTGGATGTTGGACCTGAGCTTCGTGAAAAAGGTTGTACTTGTTTAGAATTCAAGAACTTGGGTGCCTCAGTGGCATTTGTACGTGATCAAGACAAAAAAAGAAGGAACATTGTAATTGAACGAAGACAATACATACCTGAGTTGTGAAATGAAGAAAATAGAAGATGGTAATCTCCTAGCTTCGTTGGTGGAACTAGTAGTTCAAAAGGTCGTGAACTATTTGTGGACAGTTCAACGAAAGCAGAAAAAACATGGGTCGCGTTTATGTTACGTATGTCATTGCAAAGGGCACTTGGCACGTTCATATCCGTCTTTGGAGAATCGAAACTGACGTTTGAACCCTAAGTGGATAGAAATACGTCATGTTGATGTTGATAAAAGGAGCCTTGATGGTGTTGAACAAAATAAAAGGTGTAGGAAGAAGGTTAAGGATGATAATAGAAAGTTAAAAGTAAAGGTGAATAGAAGGTTTGCGAAAATGACAATTAGAACCAGTTCGTATTCAAACAAAATGAGTATAAAATATGCAAAGAGAGTGGGACTTATCTAAAAATGCCTAATTAAAGAAACAATAGTCATTTGGATGATGGAATCGTTGGATATATTCAAGGCATTAAAGTCATCGTTAATGGTGTAAAGTCAGTTCAAAGGTTTAATATAATTAGAGATTCATCTGTTGATATTGTTCTTGGAATGCTGTGGATTGTAAGATCTAGATATGCAATTCAATGTAGAGACGGTATATGTTGTTATACAATCGAATCAGGTCATAAAAGGCAACGTTTGTGATTTCAGATGAACCTGCCGTCGATAAAAGCTTCGTTTATGAAGATCGTGCTATGAAAGACGAAGATAGTGATGATAGAAAGGACAATTATGTTGTAAATGTAGGGTGTATTAGATGTGAATCGATGAAGAATGGTGAGAATAGTGTTGGTAATGTGATGAAGATGAATAGAGTCATTAGTATAATGAATGTAAAGGATGCTGATAGGAGAAGACCCAAAAGAGAACACATACCTGATACTCAAGCGATGAATGACAAACACCCAAAAAATCTTGATTCCAAAATCGATCGTATTGATGAAACTGCTGAAAGTGCTGTGGATTTTAGATGTATGGGTTATGATGAATTGAGTCTAAAGGATAAAATGAAAATCAAAGGCTTACCTGATACGCTATTTGATGAAAATGTGCTGAAAAGGAGTTGTGGTGTATACAGTAATGAAAAAGCACTGATGGTAGAAAAATTCGTGAATAATGTTGTTGAATGTTGCGTTGATATGGCTTATGATCTTGGATATTGTTCTGAAAATAGAATTGGAGCTGAAAGTGATGAGCAGAAGCCTGTTGATCAAGAGTCGATTGAAGAGGTATATCCTGGGTTTCTTCCTTTCAAAGATAGTATCGATCGGTTAACACGAATCTTGAGGATAAAGCAAGGTGATGAAGAATGTGTTGATGAGTATACTAGGCATTACGATGCTTGGTTGATTATAATAAATGGTGACGTTTCAAAAGATAAAAAGAGACACTGGTATGTTCTTTGGCTAAAATATCATGACAAAGTCAAATCCTTCATACCCGAAATATACGAACAAGCAAAAGGATTGGCTTTGCTGATGGAAGCAAAAATAGAAGTTGAAAAGGATGTAACAACAGTTGGTAGTAAAGGGGAAATGGATAATAAATGAAGGATGGTTAGATGAATAAACATTGATGAAACTGATCAAACTGATAATGATCGAACATGCTAAATAAACGATAGAAAAATGAACTACCTACCTTTGTGGAATAAAAAAAATGGCCCGAAAGATTGAATCCGCTGATGAAGTTGCTGAAATTGGAATAAGTAATGTAGGATACTGTTATCAACATGGAATCAAGGTCCCAGTATGGATACTGAAAGCTTGGATATGGTTATAATAATGGACGTTGGAATTGCTTGAGGTTGGGATCATGTGATATTTGAAGCTGTTTGTAAAATTAATATTTGAATTCTTATTAGTTTTAGTGTTGCAATAGTTTGTGTTAATGGGATAAAATTAGGTTTAGCATGTATGTAGTTAATTTGTGTTAGAATTTGGTTTTGCATGGGTTGTAACTTCGGGGACGAAGTTTTGGGGGTCTAGCTCATGACATGGGATAAATAGTGCTCCTGGATTTCGTGGTGTCGTGACCTGCATAGGATCAGGTTCATGTAACTAATGCGTTGCATGATCTTGATAAAGATTTTAATAAGGAAGTTGATTTTAGCTTTAGAGTTAGTCTTGGTCTTAGCGAAGCTTTATTAGTTAATTAATAAAGAGACACTTAAAGTATAAACTGTATGTTTGTGCATGTGGAATTAAAGGTGGGTGCAGTGTTAGATATCTGATGTTCTCAGTGTTCTCAAGAACATTAAATATATTTTGAGAATATTAAAGTTAAAAAGTATGTTCTCTTTTTGAGAACATTTGAGAACATAAAATTTGTAAATTTAATTATAAAAAATTTTTAAGAACATTAAAAAATTTTTTTGAGAACATTAAAAATTTTTCTTGAGAACCAAAATTTATAATTTATATTCTCAAAAAACACAAAAATTTTTTTAGATATTCTTTACTAAGTGGAAGTACTTAGTACAATACTCCAGTCCCGTATAACCAAGCAAGTGCTATTAGTTAGTGCAAATTGAGTTAAAACCCCTAAGAGTTAAGAAACTACTCGACAATGAAGTAACTTGTTTAGATAAATAATGCCACTTCTTAAATTCTGCATATATGCATATAAAGTTTCTTCAACTTGATTTTGCTCATCAGTCAATAAAACATGTAATCTTTTGCATCTTGGGTCCAATTAAGTTTTTTAACAATATCAGGTTGAAAAATTTATTAAATAAAATTTATAAAATTTTTCTATTTATCAATTAAAAACTTATCACTATTATAACTTATAATTAAATTTTAATTTGACTAAGTTTAAAACTCAATAAATAAAGTTATTTAAATGTTCAACATTTTTGATCAATGCTTGAATAATTATTTACTGATTCTACTCTCTAGCTGTGTAGGAATGGAATTATTATTGATTTAGAAACCACCTATGTTGATTCCAAATAAACATAGATTGTAATGTATTCTAAAATGTGCTGAGTAGTTAAAGAATTCCAATTTAACTTATAATAAAATTTAGTATATTCCAAATTATTTCATCAAATATGTTGTGTTGAAATTTAAGACAAAGTTTATTCATAACACAACACATTACAAATTAATTAAATTTAAAAGCATTACATAAAGTTTTTATTTAAATACATCTACAATAATTTTTATTATGCATTTTTGCAATTGTATTTAGTATTATCTATATGTAATTATAATAAAGATAGCATAATAGATATTATACATAATTCTAATAATACCAAACTTCACCCAAGTTAACAGTATTCCTTAAATTATCTAGTAGACAAATTTGCCTACTAGAATTTTTTAACATGTTTTTTTAAAATTACTAAAAATTTTATTAATAAATACCTCTATTACTAAGTTAAAATAAAATTTAGTATATTTTAAATTGATAATTATTAAAATTTTAATTGTATATATTGTTAGCCCTCTCAAAACTGGTATATATAGTAGATAATTTCTGTATTGATTTTGAGAGATATTAGATTTGAAATTATTATATAATCAAATAGTCAGAAATTAGCCAATCAAGTTACAAAATTAGTATATATTAGGTTTATGATACAAATTTGCAATACTAAAAAGTTTATCACTATTAGAATTTGTATTTA